TCTTTATGATTTTTTTTTTTTACCTTTGGGCAATGTCCGGTTCTAGTTAAACAAATAACTACTAGCTTCTTTAAAATCATACAAAAAGCTTTGGTTTCTCATTCAATTCAAAGGGGACCTTAGAAGGGGAGAGAAAGTGATTCAAAATCTCAATACAGAACAGAAAAGAGCTAAAATCAGAAACGGAAACGTAAAAAACGGCAAAACCACATCCAAATTTACCAAAATTTCTATAAATCTCCCACCGCTTTTTTGTCGGTCTTGTAAATCCGGAATCTCATATTTTAAGGCAAACATCATTTTTTTTCGCTTCATAGTGACGGCCACACCAAACGGTAGGTCACGCTATTTTGTATCTTTTTAAAAGTTAAATATCGTTCCCATCATTGAATTCCAAAAATAATAGTCTAGTTTTTTCTTTAAGCATTAAAACAGTTTCCTGTCGTCTGTTGCATGGAAATGGATGTACACTTTAAAAAAGTCCAGCCAACTTTTTCATGTGTCAATCATGCTGTGCCTGCAAAAATCACCAAAGAATACTATGGTTTGTGGCGAAATTTGTTTAATATCCACTTCATAACTGTACAGGAGAATTTTGTGTATCGGCAAAGACATTAAGTAATGATATCAGCACATAATTGACCTAAAACCTGAGTAATATCCTCGTGGCATTGCCCCTTTACCTCCTCCAAAATTTAATTCACTTGAGTGCGCATAAAAATGAAATACATTCCCGTTACGTTTAACAATTAATCTTTAGTTTGTTCTGTTTAAGTTAGAACTGCCATCCATAGAAAGCTTTTTTAAGATTAGCTTTCAAATTCGTTGACGCCTGCGAAACACTCCTATTTTAGTTTTGCAAAAGGTAATCTCACATGTCCGTAGCCGTAAAAATATTCTTAGCGAGAAAATACGAGAAAATTCTAAGGAATATGCGCAAGAAACCGTTCAAAAAAGATTTATTGGGCCGTGAACATATAATTTTTCCAGTTTACATAATAGGAAATTGAATCCAGTTAACTGAAGGGAAATAAGAACATATCGTGAGTTTTGGTTTTTAGACAACGGTTTTAAAAATGCCCCGACATTTTCCCGATTAAAACTATGAAATTACCCAAACCAATTAAATGCAAAATATCATTCCGTCCTTATTAATTAAAACGTTTCTACCAGCCCTTCAAAAGAACGGTTTACCTTTTTCATAAATAATTAATTAAGACATCCTTCAGAACCCAGTGACCGGAAATGCTTCAGTCATCACTATTCCTGAAAATTAAGATTTTGTCTAACTCAAAAGAGACTTCCCACGTTTTCCCTGACCTTGTAGCCTGAATTGGATTTTTTCCCGACAAATCACCGACTGAACTGTAGAAAGCACCAATTATGTGTTAAGTTCAAGTTAACAGAGGGTTCAAAAACAAGATTAAACTACCATAACATGCTCAATTTTTTTGTACTGTCAGTGTTCTGATGTCACCAAAAAGATAGACGGTGAATCTTAATCCGGTGAAAAGGGGTAAAACCTCAATCCAAAATCGGAATTCGCAATTTTACCTCCCGTCATGAAATCACGAGTTAGGAAGCGGAAGTCCTTGAGTTAACAGAGGACTCAGTTTAAGACATACAAATTAAATTCAATAGCGCTAGCGTGCTTCATATTCCATGATATTCGCTGATAACGTCAACAAATACCTTGAGTTTTTGTGAGCTTTAGTATCCTCCAAGTGCTTCCACAAGTCAATAGCACAAGATGAAGCGTTCACAAATTTTAACGAAATCTAAAGAAAGACACTGAATTTGTTAACCGAAAAAAGATAGGTACGTGTTTTTGTAGTCATCTGTGCGAGCCACACTCTTTTTCTCTGTAAGAATATATTTTATAAGAATATCGAAGCTGAAATTTTAAGGATATTTTAAGAATGAACCCCAGGATCAAAATTTTGTGTGCTATAAATCTGTAAATACAATACAATGTTATTTTTTAACTGTATAAAATTATTCCTATCTCTTAACGACAAAACTAGGTCTAGACACCTAACACCTTGTAATTGAAACCCCAAAACATTGTAAAACGGAAATGTCATAAACTGATAAGCTATAGTTTAAGAATTAAATACAATATTTTAAGCGTTAAAATCGGCAGAAAAATAAGACTACGGTATTCGGTGTGGGCCGGTAAAACAACACTCTTACTGATATACAAAAAAGATTGTATGTCGAGGACAAATTATTACGTTCAAAAAGAATTGTTTCGGTGAACTAATAGTTTTCCATCTCGATATGGATTCTAAACCTTCAGCATAACTGTCAATGTAAAAACAAAATATAGTCACTCAGACATTGACGCGTACTGCTTTGAGCGCGCGTTATAATTAATAATAAAATTTGAAGTCAACTGCTGCATTGATAATTTTATAAAACAATAAATTGGTTTATGCGTCAGCTGTGCGAATGTCGTGATGTGACTGGGCACTTAGCACTCAAGAGGCTAATTGCTCTCGGCGCGATTGTTAATTGTCGTTTTCGGTTAAGGAATATCATAAATTGCTGATATCAAAGCTTTACGGTCACATTAGTTTGATTCAAGGATATTTTATTCATTTGTCCTCTGAATTATTAAGAGGAGCAAACATAAGCACCGAAGAGGCACAGTATTAGTTGGCATCATAAATACTTTTTAAGGTCCTGTTCACACCTATCCGGATATTTTGAAAACTGAGATTTCTTTTCTCCGTTTTAGCCTTCCGTCCACACGTAAACGGCGTTTTCGAGCAACAAAAACGCAGGTTTTTTAAAACGGTCTAGAGTGGAGATTTTAGAAAATTTTCGTGTGGAAGCGGGACGAAAACGGAGCTTTTCGCATAGGATTATGTCATACATCATATAGCATTGCATTACGCGTGCTCTAGCGTTGTCGAGAGGAAAGGGCGAAAGCGAGTCGAACATGCTACTTGAGGAAGTGTATTTTTTCTAGAAAATTGAGATTAAAAAAGATCCGGATACGTGTGGACGAGGCCTGAATCTAGGTGGAGAAAAAACATTTTTTTCAGCCTGACGTTTAATTTGGGCTGACGTCCCTATATTAAAATAACGCTTTTAAAATGTATGTAACA